TATTTTAGAAAGTGCCGAACATACGTATACATTTTTTTGCACTTTTAAATAAAATATCCCCCATCAATATTTCAGAGTTTTCTAAAATTGGCAATTAAATTTATGCCTGAAAAATAGACGTGACACTAAATTTGAATTCCATTCACAATTATTGTTGCCGTTTTGTAGCAAATTGTTTCCATTTAATGCAGTGATCCTTGTTCTCGCATCATTTAAAGGGGACGGTCTATTTTTATTTTTAAAAACGGGATTGTCTAGAATTTCACAGGTGCATTCTAGCCAAAACCTCATTCTCTATTAATTTCCATGTCTATTTCCTCGTATACTCGTCCCAAGGAGAAAGGACGGATTAGTAATCGGATGGTGGTTGCGATTGCGATGAAGTGAAATCCAACAAGGATAGAGGAATCTAAGACGATGGGAATATTCACGGGATGGCTAATTTACATGTTTCTCCACCGGTAACGAAGGAATCATGGTTGGACAGGGTTTCGAAAATCAGAGACTTATGGCATATCAAAACACTTATCGCATAAATTTAGAAATGAAATCTACGTTTCGAATTTCGAATCAATATGATATCAAAATTAGAAAAATAGGAACATATACATTGTAAATTCACAAGTTAAGTATTTATTTCAATATGACCATTAAAATTTAATTGATTTAATGAGTGATGGGTTGTACAATTTTTTTGTAGCATAACATACCACTGCTACATACCATCGATCTTTTTAATTTCAATTCTATATTAATTAAGAGATAAATTTCCAAAATGGCGACAAATTTATCCAAGTTGTAATTTTCTGATTTGAGATTGAGGTCAACAATTTTAGGAATTTGAAACCCTGTCGTTTGGTTTCTGTGTTCTCTTCGCCAAACGGAATAATGTGACAGGATTAAGATATGTTCTCCACGAATGAAACCTCACCCAAAATTTTCCCGTTTTACTCTCTGGATTCTGATCCCGACAGAATTAAGATTCTCTGAGAGTTCAACTTCAAAAACCCTGCTCGTTACGGTGTAACTTTAGCCAAATTCGGTTGCAAGCAGGGTTCGGAAAACCCAGGGGTTTTTGTAGAAAAACCCAACCCCGGGGGTTTTTCCGGGGTTTTTGGGGTTTTTGTGGGTTTTTGTGGGTTTTTGTAGATTTTGGGGCAGGTTGAACCAGAATTCCTAAAATTATTTATTAGAGATAAACTAATTTAATATACAATTTTAACATGCAATTTTAACCGTAATCATTGATTTGGACTAATTACATCGAAAATTCATGTTTGACATGTAAACTTGGAAATATGCAACGATATTTAGAAATTCAAGTCGCAAATGAAAATTCTCAAAATTTCTAGATGAAGCAGAAAAGTTAATTAGCATTGATATCCGTTGTAGTTTAAGGGATTTTGTTTCAATCTACCTCAAAATCCTACAAAAACCCCGGAAAAACCCACAAAAACCCACAAAAACCCGCAAAAACCCCATTAAGCATTAGGGTTTTTCCGGAAATTTGATACCCCAAAAACCCACAAAAACCCCAAAAACCCCAACCCACAAAAACCCGGGGTAGCGAACCCTGGTTGCAAGCTGGATTTGTTATATTTCTCGTCTCCTTTTCTCGTGAACAATCTGTGTGTCGTCGTTAATGAGCCCTGTGAGAAATTCTGGTCAAAGAGTTGGTTAGAGAAAATTAGCCGAGTTTTTTGTTTCTACTAAAAATAAGCTTGTTAAAAGGCAAAAGTTGACGTACTTAAAGTAAGACTTATACTTTAAGTACGTTATATTTTGACATTATATTTTGTATTTGGATTGATCTAATTTTAGGCAAATTTGCCTCTGACTTCACAAATGTGATCACTTATTTTCTAAATTTGACGTCGTATTTATACTAATTATATCTATTCTAATTTTGAAAAAATTATAAATACAAAAGGCGTTAGGACATGGTTTTGACGAATTCATACCTTAATTGCGGGATGGTTTTTAGTTGTAGAGATTTCTAACATTTTTTATGTGAAAGCCCATGTCTCAAACTATAGGTAAGCATATCTGGCTTCCGATTTTATGTACTCTGCGAAATGAGGAAAGGTCAAATTTGGAGAGGTGTCCTTTTTTAGTTTTCCAAACCAGTGTTCTTATAAAATGGCGTTGAACAAAATATTTTTTTCTGAGGTCCTGGTGCAAAAATCGTCTTTGCGACTATTATCAAGGGACTTAGCATGCTTTTCACTATATAAAACCACTTTTGTATCATGCTTATCTTTTAAGTCCCTTTTGTAGTCTAGCTTCATACTTGTCTTAATGGAATGCTCTCTTGAACGCAACTCCTCGACTTTAAAGGCCCCCACATTTTAGGACTTTGATGCTAAAAATCCCTAACGTGGTTTTTATCCAAGGTAGAAATTGTATGTTGCATTGTAAGTACTTTTGATAAAATTTTGATAAGTGGTTACACCCCAGGAAATGAGTTTCCATCAAACCCTATAAAATTTTTACAAAAGTTCTCCTCGAAATTGAAGCGGAACTTTAAATTTTTTTAACTAATCAAAACGCAGTAATTTTATTATTTTGTCACTTGTACCTTGTAGGTAAAATAGTTCTGCAGCAGGGAACACAAAAAAGTTATTAAAATTTGTTTTCAATAAAATTTGACCATTATTTTCCTAAATTAGTTCACGAGTTTTTTACTATTCCCCGTCAGCTGATTAGCTAGGGTCCTTCTCCAAAACTGTTTACACAAAATCTTCACTGTTTAATTTAATATTACTTGAGACACTTAGAGCTTTGCCCTCAATCTTCATTTGACCTAGTGGGTCCGCTTTAAAGGTCAGCAGGTCAATTTTCCTGTGCACGGTCCGATTGATCACTTTTCATGAAAACGTATCAGCGACGATGGTGGCCCAACGTTATGTAATTCATTGTGGATTCTTTTATTATTACATGCAATGATTATCTAGGGTTGTAATATTAACAATCATTCACCTGTGACCTCTTAGGTTATCATGCTATATGAGTAATTCAGTTTGGAAAGTGTTTTTTTGGCTCCTTCAAACTCTGGGGGCACTGGAGGGGGCATTTATAAAGCTATCGGCCCAAAATTTTAAATATCTCTTTTTGAGAGTATTATCTTGCAACTGACCAAAAATCAGTTCAAAATTCAACTCCCCGCCAGAGATATTCAACCGCGAATTCGTCAAAACCATGTCCTAACGCCTTTTGTAGACGCGTCCAATTATTTAGCGGGTGTGAAATACGTACTCTATAACCATTTAATTCTAGATTTACTTTTCAAAAATTTCCAGGTACAAAATTTGAATTCATAATTTCGAACATCCGGACATAATTTAATTGGATAGAAACCATGATTTGCTCACTCATTAAATACACACATAAAGTTTATTGACTTTCTAACTCCTCCGCTTAATTGTTGCATTTAATTAATAAGCCAGCCCTACTTATATAAGTCTGGAAATGTTACTTTCTTTAAACAAACATTTTTTTACAGCACGACGTTTTACATAAATGCATTATATTTTTCGCCTTCATTAAAAACTTTGGACTGCCGACAAGTGGTCTTGGTTTGTACATAAAGAGAATAGAAAGAAGGCCGAAGGTGATTAAAACTGGAAGGGTGAGTTAAGCAGTTAATTAATTCACCCAGTTTCAACAACCAAACAACGACTGCTTAGGATTGAAAAAAATTATGGGGTACTCACGTCGAAGTTGGTAAATCATGTTAAAATTCTCCAAAAAATAAATAGATGACATGCTATGCGGCCTTCGGTCAGTTACATAATTTCTGGTGCATAACTACCATTTTACATAATGGTCATTTTACATAGTAGTCAATTATGTAAAACCCAACTTTGCATAATTAGTATAATTACACGTTGCATAATTGCTATGATTCACCTATCCACAGTTAAATGGTACCCTGTTAACTTTTTTTACATTTTGAATCTTGAAAAATTTTAGTTTGAAACAGCATTTTTATTTTATTTATTTATATAAAATAATTTACTGTAGGAAATAATTTTCTCAGAAATAAAGTTTTCAATTAAGAGAGTAATATTTATTTAGCATGTTGACGTGAGTACTACGCGCGTATTGATTAGGCAGCCCTTCAGACTATTTTATTACCACCGGTGTGGGTTTTTGTTCTTTGGTCATGTTTATTTAAACTGGAAACGTCATGTAAGTTGTGAAGTGTATGCGTGCAACAACGGCATAAATTTTCAAAAAATGGACACGATTTACATACTCGCTTGTCTTAGGTGAGCTCCAAATGTAAAAAATACTTAACACATTAGTCCCCTCGATCACAAATGGTAGTGCCAATATCGTGTTAAAGTACGAAAAAATGCATGTCTGGAGACGAAAAAAAGCTAGAAATTTGAAATTTGAAATTCAAATTTTGAATTTCCTGAGCATAATACAGAATTAGAAGTAGGCCTACGTGAGGCCTCCGATCTATGAATATATCGAATTTTAAGCCTATTTCCCACCTTAGAACTCAGAATTTTTCACACTTAACTTGTTTTCGAATTACGCTAGAAAGTCCAGATTGGAATTGGATACTGCTGATGCATTGGCTTCCGTCTGTTCCTCAGCACACACACTTTTTGCTCATAATAAACTTTTAAATTGTTGTGTTTTGCCTGAAATTTATTTAGCATTTCTTTTGTATTTGTAATTAATGATCGATCATGCAAATGTGCGCACTTATGTATGAGCACAAAGTTATACCAGTAATTAACTTTGTAATGAACGTTCATGTGTACAGTTTTGTTTTTAATTTTTAATTAATTCATAAAAAAACTTGGAAATAAGTATGAAAAAAGTCGCAAGTAAAACTCGAGTAGTTTTTAATAAGGTGAATGAATTCCCAACAAATTGTGGATCATTACGTGACATGCAAGCCATGCACTCAAATCGTGTCATGAAATCCAGACCACCCATGTTTCGCTAAAATGCTAATCATCCTCTTCCTTCTTTTTTTCCAGATCCCGGACGAAATCGCTCTACGCGCTGTAGCGGCAAAATACGCCATGGAATTCGGATCCTCCGCCACGACGACGAATAATGGCGCCACGTCGATCTACAACGGAGGTGGCGCCTCGTTTTCATCCACGTCAACGGCATCCTCCTCTTCGTCCGGATATCCGTCGTCAATCGCCTCCCAGACGACAAACAAACCTGGCTTGACCAACTCGTCCTCAGCGTCGTCATCTTCATCTTCTGGGGCAGCGGGAGGTGGGCCGCCACCCCAGTCGACCACGTGGCTTCGGGAGGGGCTGCCTCTGCTCGAATTTCAGCAACAAGTTCTTCAACAATTGAGAGAAATTTGGATGGAGGAGAGGAGAAAGTTGGCACAAAATGGGGGACATTTTTTAATGGGGGGAAGTTGTAGGAGTAATATTAGGCAAGGGAGTAGTCTGGGAGGTGGTAACAATGGGGTCAACCCGTCATGTTTGAGCTTTACTGGAAGGTCGGGATCGGCACGGGATATTTTACAGGGTGGTGAAAGTTGTGGGAGAAAGTTGGGGGAAAGTAGTGTTTGGGACACGCCGAGAAGGTCGGGACGAAGTAGTGGTGGAGGTGCTGGTGGGAGACAACTTTATACGCCGGGGGTTTATCAGGTATGTGGGTTTAAATTTATTTTTTTGTGGGTAGAACTCTGTAATTTTCTGAAATGTGGTTATCATATTTTTTTAAACGTATTGACATTAAGTATTTATTTTATTTTTAAAGCCGTCGAGCTGTCTGCGAGACCGTGACGACATTTATGACTACGTTCCACCGAGAAGGAAACCCTCTCCGGATGTCGATGATGATGACGACGAGCGAAATAACGACTCTCCAGGCGTCCAATGTGCGGCAAGACTCGGGTAAATCGAATAACTCTTATTGTGCAATATCTTTGCTGCCACTTATTATCATTGCCCCGTAGTATTTTCTGACGAAATATATGCAAAAGTTGAGATTTTTAGCATATCAATTTAAGTAGACGAACTAAATATCCAAACTCGTTTGTGAATTAGCAAGAAATATTTTTTTATTCGCAGTGGCGCTACGCATTCCCGTTTTGATCGCGGGGATCGATCCTCTTCGGGCCGACTACGCTCCAATGACTGCGCTTTCGTACTCTCGCCGCGTCATCGAGAAGCGACCACGCCCACGACGGGGGGCAGGTTCTCCACTTCGAGGGGACGCGGCTCCTCGTCTGCCGTCAATTCTAATTCTTCGACGTCTTCCTCCCACCCAAATCATGGCCAACCGCTGGCATACTACACCATTTCCGGTTCGTGTTCCTCCTCGACGGCAAATCCGGCTCAGTCAGGGTCAAACAGTCAGTACGGGGTCGTCTCAGGATTTCCACATTATCAGTATCCACGTAAGCATTTATTTATGCAAATTTAGGTTGCAACTTTGCATATTTAATCGTTCTATGCCATAAGTGTCGGGTTTAATTCCGAGATAAAGTTTGTAATAAGTAAATAATTAGTACTTGACTCACTTTAAAAGGTCTCAAACAAAATTAACATATTTATCCACATAACATTCATATTAACAGCAATGGAAATTCCTACTGTGTTAAGATAATTTACCCCTTTAAAAATTTCGAAATTTAAAAATCGTATTTGCACACAAATTAAAATATTTTCATCTAATTTTGCAGGTGGTTCTACAACCGATGACACCGTAGGTTGCCGAACGTTGGTGAATCTGCACAAGTTGGGGCGACGCCTCGGCCTCACGCGATTCTTCAGAACTTTGCGCCTCCAAAATGCCGACGGTTCTACGACCGAGACGACGATGCGCCACTATTTCAACTCCCCCACCACGTCGTCTGATCGTGTCCTCTACGCCATCACGCCCACGTCCGCGGAAACCTTGGCGCGGTTGCGACGCCTGCAGCCACAGCCGAATCACAATTCAGGCTTTCAAGCGGATGATGGAGAGGGACAGTTTCAACTGGAGAGAATTATCGGGTCACCAAGCGTTAGTAGCGAACCAAATAGTTTGGTAAGTTTGGGAAAATAGCGAATTAATAATTTAATAAACCTCATAGAATAAAAATCTATAATTGATTTCACAAGATTACATACATAAATTTAACTTGACGGCTTAATTTACGCTTGAGTGTGCTTCACTTGAAATCATGAAATTTCTAAAATTATATGAAATTCACGAAATTTCATAGCTTTCTTATTTTATGATTATTAGTAATTCATATTATACTTTACTCTGCGTAGCATTTTAAGATTTGGGTAGCAAAATCAAATTAAGTACTTATCAATAGCAACGTTCTTGCATTTTCACGTCTTTTATGTCGTTTAAAATTAGACTACTCGTTAAAATAAAATTAGATTGATATCGTGATGTTATTTAGGATTAGTATAGTAGTAATTATTACATAAAATTACAAATCTTGAACTGGGCATATTATTTTCTGCAAATTTGATATTTAAAAAATTCGTGTTGCATATGTACTCCTTATGTACAGTCATATTGGTTATAACCTTTCTGCCCAAAAAGTCCTGTTTTGATAGGAATCGAGCGTGCACGCGCTCTTCCCAACTTTTGCACGAAATTTTAAACTTTGTCCTAGAGATGCGAAATTTGGCATGCACATGCACCAACATATGCTACATCATAATATAACATCAATTCCCGTTCCGTTCGCTATAAATTTTTCAGGAAAAATCAAAAACCAAATTGAATACGGGTGACATTTGGTTTTTGATTTTTCCTGAAAAATTTATAGCGAACGGAACGGGAATTGATGTTATATTATGATGTAGCATATGTTGGTGCATGTGCATGCCAAATTTCGCATCTCTAGGACAAAGTTTAAAATTTCGTGCAAAAGTTGGGAAGAGCGCGTGCACGCTCGATTCCTATCAAAACAGGACTTTTTGGGCAGAAAGGTTATAACCAATATGACTGTAATGCTTATTGAAATGCATGCCAATGATTAATTAAATAGGTGCGTCTTAGCAAAATCTGCTGATTTCTACATTTCACAGATCTTAATTTAAAACGCAAGAAATCTCAAAAAAATTATGAGATTTAATATTTTTATTTTGTTACGTATTGCAGTACGATCAAGAAAGTGGGGGTGGCTGTAATGACAGTGCACAATTCCTTTCCCTCCCAGTCAATCAACATATGGAGACAATCAATAGAGTAAGTGCAAAATTTTGTTCATAATTCTCTAAAACACTGTTAGAAAGATTTATCAAAGTCTTTTTCATGACGAAATAACCTGATAAAACCAAAAACCTCTTTGTTCCAATTGTACAAAAAGAATCAAACCTTCATTTAAATATTTTTCATCTTATCATTCATAATAATAAACTGGGATCTACATGATAAAATTATATCTAAACAATAAAATGGGATCTCATAATAAAATACAAAAATTTCACTTACGGTGCCAGTATTAAGCAAATATTTAATTAAACACAAATCTGATCTTGTTACTGTCCCTAATTGATTGTATTATTTTGTTGCAGCTGAAATATGAATATGAACAACGTAACCGTAAAAGAGATGATAATTCGAGTGCAAAGGAACACAAAGTGGTAACAAATTTTTAATATTAATATTTACAATTTATTTTTAAAATCATTAATATTTTATTTTCTTTTACTTTTTCAGCCCCGTTACGAAGATGTCGACGTAATTTCAGTCGATCTGAACTATGAACAAGAAGCTCAGGAACAAAATTCTACTCGCTTTTCCACCGAAAATAAAAAAGACAAGAAAACCAACAGTAGTGTCAGCTCATTAGTGCGTAATTTTATTACCGTTGTTTTATAACTGTTCAATTAAAGGATCCTGCGTACAGCATGTGACCGATTTTTGGAGGATTTTAATGTAAAGGATGGATAGTATGTCTTGACGCCTTTATTTAGTCGACCACATCCTTTATACATGGTCCAATATATGTATTAAGAGAATTTCGAATATCAAAATTTATCAGTAATAAAATATGCAACTGGAATTATTAAATTGTAAAAACAAATGTCAAGTAATAAAAAACTTACAATTATAATAAATGTTTGAATCTGTATGCGTGTGATAATGAAATAATTGGAGTCTAGGATGTTACTGAATGTCAAATTTAAATGATTTCTGAAAATTTATTCAGAAAATTTGAAATTTTTTTATTAACAATTCCACCTAATAAAGAAAACCATCATCACCATGTTACACAAGGAAGTATGTATTTAGACAAGCCTGTATTTATTTAGATACATGTACACACGTGCTAAATATCTATTTCAGAATAACCACACAAACTTATTCAAAGTTTATTTTATTCTTTAATTCTTGAATCGGAAGTTTTGTTTTGATAAAAATGAAATTGTGAAATATTTAATAAAAACTATGCGCAATTTATACTAATAAAATTGTGAATACATTCATGCAAAAAACTTGCAGCTTTAAATTTCGTAAAAACACGAAGAAATTTGTTTACGAGTTTCATACAAAGTGTTTCCCAATATCTTTTTCCATGATGATCTCATGTGTGAGAATTAATTAAGGTAAATAATTGGTATTCCAATATTATTCAAGCGTTCATCATTGTCAAATAATTTAACCACGTGAGGAGTGGACGGAGACTATTCTTTGCAGGGGAACGATATGAATTTATTTCTATTGGGCGTATAAACTTCAAACTATATTCATATTAATAGCAATAAAATGTATACCAAGAAAATTGAGTAAACCAACTTAAACTATATTTGCAAATCTGAAAATAATTATAAATGGTGTTAAATTTGCTCAATAAGTTAGAATAATAATTTTGTGCAGTTACAAGGATTAGTGTCTCATTTTTTTTTAATTAAAAAAAATTTAAAATCAGAAATTTTACAATTCTTGAAAAAATGATACTACGAACTTTGAAAGTTTCCAGTATTCTATTCTTATGGCATCAACCAACGCCGATAACCGCAAAGGCCTTGTCTGTAGTCGTAATAATAACCGTATGGATAATGTCGTTTCTTCCGAACGGGACCACCTTCAGCTTCCCATATATCTGGAAATATTTATAAATTAGTATAACAATTTTAAACATAATTTTCGTCTGGGTAGATTTGAATGTTCGAAACAATTTTTAAGCAAATTGTCACTAGATGATAACGGTTGGAGTTTATTACTATCAGACCTTCAAAAAATACAAATTCCGTTCAACATCATATTTTTTAAATGTGTACATAGGCTTACTGTTGTCTCCGTACGGATATGGGATCACTTCTGGCTGGGCCGAGACTGACATCGCCAGGAAGCTAATTGCTAGCAAGGTTCCGAAGAGGAGGCAAATTGAGACAGCTTTAGAAACCATGTTTGTCCAAGCTTTGTCAAGTTTTGTGTAACCTTTGGTTGAATAAATGTATGCATTTTATAGTAGCGTCCTTCATTGCACGGGTTATCTAAGTACATATGTAATAAAGCAAATGTCAAAATTTGCAAATTGAGTTGAAGGATTTTTGATAGGTGATGATGCATTTTTTAATGTCCAGTATATTTTTTATTTTCTTAGGTGCGACTGATTTTATTGGGCTGAGGATGACAGAAGTAGACAAAATTTGCCAGTAATCGATTGACAAAATGTATTTGGAAAATTATTTTAAGACTGTCTTAAAATTATTAGAATTATTAGAAAGTTAAAAAAATTATGGAGGAGACCTTTTATTTCTGTTGGCTAATATTTTGCTATATACATGCATGCATATGTAAAAAGTCCGCTCAGGGGTATAAACTAATACAACTTTACATACGTTAATATTTGGGTAGCATTTCTACAAAGTCATACAAAATTATTTCTTCCACAGCTAAGAATAAAATTCAACTTTATATAAAAATTTAACAGTTAATTAGTATTTCAATTGTTCCAAAAAGCAAGGCATTGAAATTAAAGTCGTCCAAAATTTTATGTGCACGTAAGTAAGGACCTACATATTCGTCTAGTTAGGCTACTTACTAATAAAATGCTTTTGTAGTTGCTCAAGATTTCAGGAATCAAAACCTTTCATCAAAAATCTGACCGTTACATACATATATGATTTACAAATGCAATTCATAAAACTTAATGCATCATCATCATGCAGATTTTTTATTGATTAATACAACAAATATGTATATATTTTACTAAAGATTTATTGAACAATCAATTATTTGTGGTATCGAAACATACTGTTACATATGCAGCATATTGTAATATAAAAACTTTACCAATAATTGATCGTTCTGTCAAAACACTTTCACCAGATATCAACCAGATCTGCGGGCACTTATATCATTATCAAAACTTTTAAATTTTGTATTTTCGACTTTATCTTCTAACAGAATACAGATAATTTTCGAAAAGAGCAAGGGCATACCGATTTCTAAAACGTAATATAATCATCTGAAATTTAACGCGGAAAAATAACCTATCATTAGCATCGGAGGGTTGAATTTCAAAATTTGAATAGGGACGTCCCCCAATGGGAAGTCAGGGGGAAGAGATAGTAAATATTTTTAGAATTTGGAGCAAAGTAATGCCAATAATTGATGCAAGTTAATGAAAAATTAGTGTGAAATAGTAGCATATAATTTTACAGAAGATGGGTGACATTTACTACAATCAATCCTGGTTAGGGCTAAGCAAAGCTGATTTGATAGGTTTTACTCGCTTGACGCCGGTGTTCCTAATTTTCATCAATTTCGCCTGGCCATTCCCAGCGAAATCAATCGTCTTGGAAACGTAATAATTTGATGATTTTGCAAAAATTTGAACCTGGCTGGCGCCGGACAAAGACAAAATTTATCAATTTCAGAAAAAAAATTCAGGTTCGAGCAACATCGAGTTAGTATCTTCTCAAATCAATTCCTTGACGAACCAACGGGTTTTATGTGGTTTGCTAAATAATTATTTTGCCAATTACATCATGTCATCAATCGTGCGGTTAATTAATTTGTAGTGGTACTAAAAATTCTAAAATTTATATTGCAATTCAGCCTTGAAACTCCAAGTGTCAAACAAACATTATTTGTGTCAATTTTATACCAGGACCACCCCTTCGTCGTCCCCGTTGCTTCCAATCGCTTCGACGCCGAGGTCAATACAATGCCCCCCAAAAAGGCAAAGTTCGTCTCCAACGCGCAGTTGGAACATTTGGAGTGGGAGTTACGAAAGAGGGGAATTCGACCGACGGGCACTATCCAAAGAATGGTAAAATTTTCAACTTTGTGTCAATAAATCTATAGATAGATAGGTATTTATCTTGGCTATTTTTACAGGAAAAGAAACTAGCAAAAGCGAAAATAGAGGAGGAGAAGCTTCTGGCAGCTAAGGAACTTCGTGACATTGAGGAAAACAACGGCCAAGAAATGACGATGGCGCCCACCACCTCCAAGAGTCAAAAGGTCACCATAAAGAACAAAGATAGTGCCAAAGTACGGTCCCGTCGAGCAAAAGCGAAAGCCCAACTTATGGCAGATTTGGAAGAGGGTCTGAAAATCGTGCTGTTTCGACGTCCATTCCAAACGATTCACTATTTCTTTCGAGAAATTATTTGTGTCATGAATGATTTTGGGAAACGGTTGGTCTAACTTTGTTTCAAGTTTTACGAGAAATTTTACAAGTATTTATAATTCTATAAGTATTTTATTTGGATTACAGGTTGGTATATTCGTTGTACGACTCGAAAAAAGGGACGATACCAGCAACTCGAAAAGTCGCCCTGTTTACAACATTTTCTGCTATTTTGTATGGATTGCTCTTCATTTTTGGAAGAGATGAACCTGAGTCGATTAAAGTGAGTGGTCAGTTTACAGCTTTTTATAATCTGTGGTTGGACCAAAAATTTAAATAATCAATTCAAATTGATAATTTTGGTCCAACTTGTTTTTTTGCCAACTTTGCAAAGTTCACGGGGTTACATAACTCGCAATACTAAATTTGCTAAGAAATTTATTGGGTGTGAGTAAAGGGAAAAGTAAAAAGTAAAAAGTACTATAATAGATAAATTACCTTTGTAGGCTCGTGAACTCGTATATTTGTACGGTTACTGGATGATTCTCGGAATTTTGTCGTCTGTGGGATTTGGAACAGGATTGCACACATTTGTTCTGTATCTTGGACCGTTTATAGCAAAAGTTGTTTTAGCTGCGGGTGAATGTGGAACATTGGACTTTCCCAAGCCGCCCTATCCTGATCAGTAAGGATACAATTCTGGATATAAATAATTTCTCGCTGAAAATTAGTAAATTCATGAAACAAACTAATTTTTGATCAACAGGATCGTGTGTCCAGAAGGTGTCAACTCTAACCATGGTGGGAGCGTTTCCGTCTACGACATTATGTGTAAAGTCCGCTGGGAGTCGTTCATGTGGGGTTTAGGAACTGCTTTGGGAGAGGTGCCCCCGTTTTTTATGGCACTGACAGCCAGAGTTTCGGGAATGTCAGATAACGAAGATCTGCAAGAGTTTGCGAAACTTTTGGAACGTATAAAGCAGGGCGATCGGAAGAGTTTGGTGAGTCATACGTGAAAATAATTTAATTATCAAAAACTGGGTCCAAGACGTTGTCGGGCGTTTTGTCACAAAAAGACTCGTTTTTGTGGCAAAAAGAACCTAGAATTTCAAAAAATGAAACCCACGAGACGAAAATTTTCAAATTATTGTCTGCATATCTAATTTCGCAGAGCATTCTTGAGCGTGGAAAACTGTTTATGGAGGATTTCGTAGAGCGAATCGGTTTCTGGGGAATCTTGGCGTGTGCATCAATCCCAAACCCGCTCTTTGATCTGGCCGGGATCACCTGTGGTCACTTCCTGGTCCCGTTCAGGACCTTCTTTGGTGCCACGGTGATTGGGAAAGCGGTCATTAAGGTGCATTTACAAATGCTCTTTGTTATCCTGGCCTTCAATCAAGACTTTCTGGATCGGTGAGTAAAATAATCCTGCCCAACCTTTGCAAAGGTTGCGAAAATCTTCAGTCAATATTCAAGATCTCCTCGGATGTTGTACTGCGAAACCAGTAATAAATAAATAGTAAATTCTAAATTGTTGCAAATTTTTTTGCAAGGTGTTTGCAAAAATTATAGAGGAGAATCAGGTTACATGGGCTACAAACGTCCGAGTGAATTTCTTAATCATCTTTCTCAAACTCATCTTGACTTTTACTTTCTATTTTACAGTGTGGTTTCACTCATTCGGAAGATTCCACGGTACGGCGAAAAGATAAGTGATCCTTTCGTGGAGTACATTTCTCAGCAAAAGGCTCATCTTCACAACAAAACCGCTTGGAGTGTAAGTATTTTGTCATTTGAATTTTAAGCTGGAGTCCTAAAAATGCAAAGGACTCGCTCCTCACCGAATGACTGATTTGCTACGATTTCATTTTTCAGAAACCTGGACACGTTGCATACGTCCTGGATATTATCGTCACATTTATCTTGGTTTACTTTGTGCTTTCCATCGTAAATTCCATGGCGCAAGCGTATCATAAGCGGATCTGTGAAAAGAAGAGGAATCGTAAATGTTGATTTGTGCGAGAAAAAAATAACATCCAAAGTTGTTATATGTTCATCAGTACATATATATATTGGAGGCATATTACTACAATATTTATGTTATTATCTAAAATGAAGCTAAGTATTAATGGAGGATCTTGTCATTAAAGTAATTTGAATAAAGAACATTCGAAAAAATTTCCTCTGTTAGTATCGGTCTAAAAAATATCATGTCTGAAATCCTAAGGATGTTTGTAACCCCGTAAACTGTGCAACTTTTGTAAATTAATTTTACAAACTTACGTTTGTACAATTTTCATTTGTAGCGACGAATTTGATTTAAATTAATTTTCTTAACCGTATTTCATTTATGTAGAATTACATAAAGGCCAAGAAGTGCTAACTTTTATTGAAATTAAATTTTTACTCCAAAAATATAAAAAACAGAATTGTAGCGAATTTGAGAATTAATGTTAATTTTTTTATTTTAATTAATTCCTCCACCGCAATGGAGTAATTTTAATGTTATGCATCGCATTGAAATCAATCAGTTTTATATAATCAGACAGTTGACAGTGTTTCAAATATAATTGTTAAACGACACTTGGTTTAGCTTTATTGTTTTTCGTATCTTTCTGATTGACATATGAATTACTGTATTATCATTATATGCTCAATCCAAACCTTATCAGGAATGATGCTTAAGTGTCTAATGAATATATCAATTTAAGTTGAATTAGTAGAAAAAATCCATTCCAGTTTCGGCTAGTGTTTGTTGACTATTACATAATTATTAGTAACATTTTAAAAATGAGGTTTCCACTTGTCCTGTTTTTCCTGCAATTTTCGTTGTTATCAATTCACAGTGAATTCAGTCAACATCGCACGGAAATTTTAGCCGCTGACGGTTCCTACGTTCTTCACTGGTCGATTGATTATGTCGCCAAAGTCGTCCGATTCAACGCCACGGTGGCGACGAGAGGTTACGTCGGGTTTGGAATTTCGCCTTCGGGTGGCATGACGGGAGCGGATATCGTGATTGGTGGTATTTTTGAGAATGGAACGGCTTATTTTTCGGTAAGAATTTCGTTGGTATTTTTTGGGGGTCATCCTTTGTGGCACCTTAAAAATGCTCAGAAAATTTTACGAAAATTTATGTTTATTTACACTATTTTTTGCAGGATCGACACGCTGTCGGGGAATCTCTACCGATCGTAGATAAGGCGCAAAATTGGGACCTTCTCAACGCCACCGAAACCACTGATGGTGTGACTACGTTAATTTTTGAGCGAGCCTTTAACACCTGTGACGACGAGGATGTTGTTCTTTCGGTAATTAATTTAGAACCACTTAATTTGACAATTTACGCGGAGATTTCCTGTAATTTTGTAGAAATGCTTTTTACAAAAAAAAACGAAAAGTGGAATTTCTCAGATACCATACAAAATACCAAAAAATGCATCAGAATGCACTTCTAAAAACTTTGCTGTCAAATTTGTAACCTTATTTCACGACAAGTTTTACTTACAATTTATTTATTTTTCCCATTCACTTTAGTAAAATCTTAAGAGTTTATAAATATTTTTGCAAAAATTGATCTAATTATTTCATTTTTTCTACAGAATGACACAACCAACTTCATCTGGGCTTACAGTCCGACCAACAGTGATGACGTTGTGTACCATACGTCTGGTTTTAGGGGGACCTTGACAGTACAACCCCTTGACCCCGAGGTGCCCCCACTTGACCCTGGTCACTGGTCACAGTACGATATCAAGCACACCATGACGATGCCAGACGCTGACACAACGTATTGGTGCACGATTCATAGAAGTCCAGTTTTCACAGAGAAGCATCACATCGTTGCGGTGAGGCGTGTTTGAAGTTGCGTCATTTCAAAATTAGGGGTTTAGGATGACTGGAGATAATAATTTAATAATAATAATGTAGTTTTCCAAATTTGAATAAATTTCATATTTTGAAATTTATTCGAATTTCGAAAACTATATAGCCCATCACACCACTAAATAAAAAATAATCGTAGTATTTTTTCTGCCTAGTTCGAACCTCTCCTCACCTCCTCGGAAGCCATAGCTCACACCCACCACTACAACATCTTTCGATGCACTCCACCCGACGGGGTCGACGCGGAAACTTTTTTCGGACCCCATGTCGACGCCGGGGTGGGAGGAGAATGCTACGTGGCGCAACCCGAAGTGCCTACGGCTTATTGTCAAACGATGTTTTACAATTGGGCGGTGGGTGGTCGGGTAAGGTCGCGGTTAATGAAGAAAATGCTTTTGAATTGGAAAGTGTTTTTTGCACAATTGGCAATAAATGTGCAAAATCATACAAGTTTCTCTTCTGTACATAGACACTAGTCCTTCCCCCGAATATCGGATACCCGATCGGCGAAACGGGTAACCCCGTGGACTACTACATGTTCGAAATCCATTACAATAATCCAACTCGTTTGCAAAATGTCACCTTCGAAACTGGCGCGATAATTTATTATACGCCTGAACTGCGCCAACACGACGCCGGGTTGATGGTTGTGGCGCACCATACTTCGTTATCCTTGACCGTACCACCGAATTCGACAGGCTTCAAGACGGCAGGACATTGTGATTCGGCATGCACGGAAGAATATCTGCCAGAAGAAGGGATCAATGTTTTCGCAATTTTTTTGCATGCACATTTGTCTGGTGAGTTGAATTGGAGAAAGTTATGAAAACTAAGGGTCTTAGAGTCAAACCATGATTTTCTTTCTAAGGATTGATGGGTATTTTCTATTTGCGATATTGGATTTAAAGAAAAACGAAAAATTAGAGTATTTTTACTTAACTCATTGAAAATTTTTGAATGAAAAATCCGGAAACTTTCACCCCAAATTTTGTATTTTATTCAAGGCATCTAGACTCTCGGAATTAAAAGAAGCTACTGACCTGAACTTACCAATTATGTACTTAAATTTTTTCATAATTTATTTCTTTCCAGGGCGCAAAATGAAATTTCGTCAATTTCGTGGTGATCAAGAACTCCCTTGGGCAGCAAATGATGATACGTACGATTTTGAATTTCAACAGACCCGACCTTTGTCGAAGGAATTGAAAATCTTGCGTGGAGATCATCTCACGATGGGTATGAATTTCTGCTGAATTTTATAATTTTACAATTAAAAATTATTACGACATTGTTTTTTTGCAGAATGCACTTACGACACGACGTGGTACGACCAGAGTAAAGTCGTAATTGGAGGATTATCAACAACAAATGAAATGTGCCAATCCATCTTTTGGTATTATCCTAGAGCAGAATTGCGAGACTGCAGAAGCGAGTATCCGACTGAAGAGATTTTTGCAAAATTCGGGATCGAGTCCGCAAATCGGTAAACAATTTAAAAATTTTCACAAATTTTTGCTGCAGAAATTTGAATTCTAAATTTTTCTAATTTTTTCCTCAGATCCACCCCATACGAAGACGCCATCATAACGGCACCCACATCCTTGGCCGGTATGTCTTACACTGAAGTGCTAAATACTCGGGTGGATTGGACTTCCGAATTGCGGAAAGCAATTGAACAGGATTCTTTAACCCGACCACACGTTGGGGTTTGTTGGACGGCCAGTGAAACTAAAAACATTGACCAGATCGGATATCCTTCCGGAATTGTGAGGGAATATGCACCTCGAGACGAGTGTAATTCCAGTCTGGCGAACAGATTAGTGTTGACGGTGCCAATTTTTCTCGGGATGATTTTTTCTCTAATCGAGATTGTTTAATTAGTGATGGATCGACAACGTTTTTTGGAATAAATGATCATCTCGATATGTACATACAACCTTCCTTTTGAGCAATTTTTGCATATAATTCTGCATATTGTTAAATATGTAAATCGCCAACAAACACTATTCCCAATTTGACTCTACCAAATTTGTATTTGTGTTTGTTGTGTTTGATCCTATTGGTAAGGCGATATAAATACGACGAAATAATTAGACCAGAAAGTGCATGAAGAAAATATCTCTCATTTACGTATTTAGCAGAAACCCGTATTTTTTAATGCTAATGTATAAATGCAATATTTAAGTCCTCAAATATGCATGTAAATAAACACTCACATGAATTTTATACGCATAAAGTCTTATCATACATAAGTTAATCATATTTCCGATACGATAATATCGATAACGAGATATTGACAACAAACTTCAGTAAAATTATTTTGTTTTGAACATTCGACACTCATTACACGAAGTATATATTTCATTTTTTTAGCAAAATGTGGATTTATTACTTTCTAACATTAATCATAATTTTGTACGTGACGTTTAAACTGTTCTCGAACAGAGTACACAACTATTGGAAAAAGTATGGATTCAATAGCGCAACCTCATCCGAGATTAAACAGGGCTCAAAAAATTACCCAACCTCCATAAAAAAAGGTGGCATAGAATGTTTAACCTACAAATACTTTAAGGATCTCGGCCTCCCTATCGGGGGGACATTTGAAGCCTTAAATCCCCAACTTTACGTTACGGATGCAGCTCTCGCTAAGAAAATCATGGTAGAAGACGCCCACCATTTTGTGGACCGTCGCGAATTATACGAACCCCAACGGAATCCTTTACTCGGAAGAATGTTATCCTTCCGGCGAGGGGACGAATGGAAGCGGTTAAGATCTCTGCTCAGCCCTGCCTTCACCCCAGCCAAGATGAAGGACATCTTCCCACTTTTTATCGAAAATTGTCAACAGCTCGTTGCCACCATCGAAATTACAAACAAAGATTATCCAGTCCGACTCGATATTCACGAAACAATCGGAAGATTTACAATGGATGTCATTTCCTCAACGGTGTTTGGAATCAGGACTGAATCACAAACAAATAACGACTCTATATTTTACGAGATGGGTAAAAAGTTGCAAGTTTTAACGCTGAAATTAGTCTTTGCACGGATAACTGCCAAGTTTCTTCCCAAGCTGGCGAAATTCTTACATATTTCGACCTTTGATACGAGTGCGCTCGAATTTTTTGCACAGACTACAAAGAATATTGTCCAGGAACGAAATAAATCTGGCGTTATTAATCGACGAAGGGACATGATTGACATTTTGCTGAGTAACAATGCATCCGGAGAACTTTCTGAAGACGACATAGTTTCACAGGCAGTACTTTTCTACATATTGGGATTTGACACGACAAACTCGCTTTTAGAGATTTGCTGTATTGTTCTTGCGAATCATCCAAAAATTCAAGAAAAGCTGAGGAGAGAGGTAGCAGATTCTGGTTTTGATGAGCATGGAAATACAAATTCGTATGAAGTTCTAACCGAGATGCCGTACATGAATAAGGTTATTACAGGTAAAAAAAGTTAAATAAAGTGTTTATACACACATAAATAATATCTCATTTGCATAAAAAATGCATAATCATTTTTTACCCAGAGACCCTTCGACTTTACCCACCCTCAACACGGACGGAGAGATTGTGCACGACGGAATATTTAGTGCCGGGAACAAATTTGACAATTCCGATTAACAGTCAAATTGTCATTCCGATTTATGCGTTACAAACGGATCCGGATTTGTGGGAAGATTCCCATAAATTTTTGCCAGAAAGATGTTGCACGAACCAATCGGCGTATAACCCTTTTGGTGCTGGACCACGATCGTGTCTGGGTAAGCGGTTATCTGTCAAGAAATATGCACATAGATGCATTGATTATTAATTTTAAGTATTTTTATGATCTAGGCAAACGCTTTGCTCTGGATTTATGCAAAATAACGCTAGCATCTATTCTGCACTGTTACGAAATACTTCCAGATAATGATAACGTCGGTTCAGTGGATGTCTCGGATCTTCTCGTATATCGAGTAGGGTCCATTAAAATTAAGGATGGGATACATCTCAAGTTCAAGTCTAGGAAATGACTTAATTATGTTGGTACATTTTTTTAACCGGGGGGACTATACCGGATTTTTACAGTGCGTGCTATCGTATTTAGTGCACTGATTGATTAACGATTCCATATTTGTTCATGATTCCGGAGTTAAATATATGCGGAAAATTATCTATGTATTTTAAACATAACTGACTGATTGAGTCATTCTTTTATGAGGTAGGGAGTTTTTATATCAGAAAATAAATTCATTTAAAAAAATCTACATTTGCATGTGATCTAGTAGTTTCGAATTAATTAACGACATAAATTATGTATCACCAGATTGCATCTTATTGTAAAGTCATGTGGTTATTCTATTTGCTAAGTAGCGTCAGCAGCTTATTGTGATCGTTTTGTCCGTCCGTCCATATATAATAACGCATGAAGACAATCAAATCCCATTGTGCTTCTAATTTTCAGATCTAACTATAAGTCGAGCTTAATAATGGGTCAATCGGACCACTCCCCATAGCGCCAAAAGGAGGTGTGGCTCAACATTAATTGCTGGTTCGGTCTATCTTCAGGGAAAACTCTCTTGTTGTGGGGCTCTGTAATTACAATTAAAAATATTTAACATGAAAAAAACGTTTTTGAAAATATTGAAGAAATATTGAATTATTTTTCCAATATCATCTCTATCCTGCGTTACTTTATTATATTTGTGTGCTACAGTTTATTTAGGACGATAAGCTTTGGACAGGTCTGGACATGATTCAAGACCGATTTAGATTACGTAATTGTCATGCCGTGTCATCATTCCATTATTTGCAAAATAGGTACTTATTTAAGAAATATATGAATTTTCGAGGCATGTGATGTGATTTACGTAAGTAGGTACATGCAAAAAATGCAAAAAATTTAGTACTCCGTCTTGAGTCTTTACTCATGCTATGATTTCATATTTCATGAGCAACAAAGACACTCATCTAATGATTTATTAATTTTTTTGCGCGCATTTTTTGCATGATTTTTGTTCGAAATGTATACGCATCATTTCAGTTTTACTTGTAAAATTTGTGCAAAGTCATTCTAATCTTTATATTTATTTCCACCACAATTCTGTCCTCTTGACCAGTCCGAAAATGCAGCAGGGTAAAGTCGTCTCATTGTTGGTGCAAAGTTTTCTCATCGTCTTCCTCTGGGAAGCGTCACTAGTGTCATGCTCACCACTCTTGACGAAGTCACCACCCACCGTCCACCTGGGTCAAGGTATCTTGCAAGGAACCACAGAAATTAGTCGGGGTGGCCGGTCTTACAATGTCTTTTATGGCGTGCCCTTTGGGAAAGTTGAGAAACGATTTGAGGTAAAGATTTTAATTTGTTGATGTATGTATGCAAAAAAAATCCAAGGTCCGCAAAAATATTTTTGCGAATTGTGCACCTCTATCTAAGATGCATTCTAAACACCTTCTAAATATGTAAATAATTAGTTTGAAAAATGGTTCGAAGAAGTGCAGAATATAAGAATTCATTAAAGGGATACATTTTATCTTTTATTTTAATAAATAAACCCTTCTAAACGATATAAACTAGTGGCGTCAAAGCGGTTAATTTTCTCTTAAAAGGACACGATACATGGCAATTATGATTTTTTACCTTTGATTTCCCCGTCACGGTCATGACTTTAAAAATATTAAAGTCATTTTGAGTTCGTGGTGAAATTTCTTTTACAACGACACCGTTGTTCAGAATTAAGAAGCAGAATGGTGCAAACGGCGTTTGATTAGTAAGTGGACACGTTATGGAGATACAAATATCCTGCCCACAGACGGATGGACAATGCAATCGCAATAAATGGCTTACGCTACTCAATAACTTGAAATTTGATCGGTAATATTTAATTTAATTTGTACTTAGATGTCGAAACCAGCGGATAGTTGGACCGGGGTGAAAATGGCCACGGTAAACGGGCCGGAATGCATAAACACTGGATTTGTGGGCGGTGCAGTGCTCGGAAGTGAGGATTGTCTCAACTTGAACGTGTTCACTCCAAAGGTTAGTTTTTGATTGATTAATTGAAAATAATTAAATCATAATTAATCAATTATGTTCATGTTCAACATTTTGTATTCAGTTACCATCAAATGAAAGTGACGGAAAGCTTCTCCCCGTTCTTGTCTGGATTTATGGGGGTGGTTTTGTCGGGGGGTCTAATCAAGCATATGGGGGATCCTACCTTATGGACGAGGATGTTGTGCTGGTCGTTATTAATTATAGGCTTGGTGCATTTGGTTAGCCAATTACTTAATTTTAAAATATTTGAAAAAAATTTTATGATTTGATTGAAATTGTGAAAATTTTTTTCGATAGGATTTCTAAATGCTGGGGTTTCAGGTGCGAGAGGAAATCAAGGTATGCAAATAAATATACAGACAATATTGTTTATCTGTTGCAAATTTTTTTGCAAAATCGGAACAAAATTGCTATAAGTTAATGATTAAGCTGTTAATTTGTTTTAAAGATATCTCGCATTATTAGTCTTTCTTATTTATGCAAATTTTGCGTGCAAATTTTTAGCACGATTTCTTATCTATGTATGAACATTTTAGGCATGAAAGACCAAGTTCTCGCGCTCCGCTGGGTACGCGACAATATCGCCCATTTTTCCGGGGACAAGAACAAAGTGACGATTTTTGGAGAGAGCGCTGGTGGCATCTCCGTCTCTCTTCTGACCGTGTCCCCCATGGCGCAGGGTCTCTTCAGCCGCGCCATCATGCAGTCTGGCACCGCAGGGATGCCGTTTGTCTACCATGGCGTGAACGGACGAGACCTCGCGGTCAAACTGGCGAAAGAGGTGGATTGCCCGTCCAGCAATATGCAGTACTTGGTCGAATGTCTGCAGAAGTTGGATACGAAAGTGATCGCACCCTTTGCCCGGGTGGTGCATCAATTTGTAAGTTTCATAAAATATTCAAAAAGTTGGAGGAGGATTTATTTAATTGCAAATTTTTGACTGTTTGGTAAAGCTCATTCATTTCCCTCTTAAAAAATCGTAGTTGTATTACAAAATTAAAAAAAAAATATTGCAAATTCTACTCAAACTTACGTTCCGTAAATGCCGTGACAAATTATTAGGGCAAATTTAAAATCAGTAATTTTTGCACAATTGACAATATGCCAAAACAAAATCGCAAACTTGCCTAATGTCAAATATTCTCATACGTAATATTTCATCCCATTACCTTTTTTCGCAATGCTAATTAAAAGTAACGTTTCCCAATAAATTTAAGGGCTTCGACGAGTCCGCCATCAACATGGGTCCCTCCTACGAAACCTACCTACCTCCAGATAACTCAACAGAGGACGTCTTCCTCTCCGAGGATCCCTACAATCTCGCCCTCGCCGGAAACTTCTCCAAAGTTCCCATGATCATTGGGATCGTCGCGTTTGAGATGTTTTCTATGGTCTCGGCTACCATACGGAATGAAACCAGTGTCAAAAAACTGAACAACCAGTGGGGTCGAGTTATGCCGAACGCCTTGTTTATTTCCAACACGGCGGAGGACCCCGCACTTATTGGTCAAGCGATAAGGTCACACTTTTTGGGAGACGAGTACATCAATGAAACGATTCTCTCCAAGTATGAGGAGCTCTACTCGGACCGCCATTTCGTTCATTCGACCCGTGTATTTGCGGAACTTTATGCGAAACATGTGCCCGTTTATTTGTACAATTTCACGCAAATGGTCCCCATCGTGAAGCATGGGCTGAAGGATCATAAATTCATTGCTGAAGTGGATGGTAAGAATGCTTAGTATAAATTTTTGCGGTGACAGACGAAAACGTGGCGTCATTGGGGACTAATTTTATGAAAAATTTCGGTTTTCATAAAAAAGTTGGGACCCAGGGGTTTTTGCAGTTTTTGAGGCCAATGATTTTCGCACATACATACATGAAGTTATTTTGAAAAACTTTTACAATTTTGACGCTTTATTGTAGGCGAAAAAACCCGCAGAAATCCTGGTCATGGGGACGAAATAGCATATCTGTTCGACGGAAAGGGTAGATTCTTAAGTTTTTTCGCCAGAATTGGGAAAGGTCATGAAGATGAGAAATTTTCCAAGGAGATGATCGCAACTTGGGTAGCGTTTGCGGACACTGGGTACGCAGGATTACATATAATATGCAGATATGGGATTTACATTTTTCTATATTTTAGGAAACCAAACGGTCCGTGGGGAGTATCTTGGCCGGAATTTAAGTCAGATCAGAGTGAGAATGGAACATCGGCGGGGCAGAAATGGCTGCTTATTGAAAATCCACCGAAAGTTGAACCCCTCCCAGAATCGTGGGAAGCAAATAATAAATTTTGGAAGAGTTTGAACATCAAAGAACTTGGGGGAAAGTGGAAATCGGAGGAATTGTAGAATTTTTTAGGAATAACTTTAATCTGTGTTTGAAATTTCTCTTAAATTTGTTTCGTGATAAGATACATATTTAGCTAATCGAACACATAAAAAAATTGAGTTTTCTTTAATTACCGAATTAAACAACTTCTTAATTATATCCGACTAAAAACTTCCTTCACTTTTCAATCTCATTAGAAATTTAAAAAATGACGAAGCTAATAAATAGAATGAATTCTAGGATTATGATGCCCGCATGATTTTCATCCTAATCTGAATATACGAATCCTCCCATTTTTGGTGTAAACCCGTAATCAGACCGTGCTACTACCCGTTCTAATTCTATCTAATTAAAACGATGGACTAAACTGGTTTAAAATACGGCATGTGCATGCAAGCCTTCCCATTTCCTCGCATTTGTGTGCATATTATCGAGGTGGGAACACTCTTAAAATTACTTTACAGATTGTTATTTGTCTGGTAAGAATCTATATTAATGATTTAAAATCTTTGGGTAAAATCCTGTTACAATTTTTTTTCAGTGATTATTGTCACATTTATTTATTACCCGCCTGGCAGAAAATATTACCAGAATTTAATTTCACTCAATTTTTGACTAGAAGTTTCAAAACAATTTTATATTTTATCGATCTGGGACAAAGGTTTGACATAGCAATGCAGAAGAAATGACGCATCATTTCGGAAATAAAAATTTCGTAACAAATTTTTATTTCCGAACTTAATTAATTTTAATATTGATTCTGCTTAAATTAGATATTCGTTAAAAGTGCATACATACATAAATTGAAATAAAGTTCAAAAACTGCTGTAACAATTCATAGAATCATAAACGGACGGTAAAAATGCAGGTAAAAATGGGTGTAACAATTTATTACCGCATTATTTAGAGTGCACTACAACCCCTTCTACCTAACTCAGCCCTGCACCACATCTGGCCTGACTCTCCTCCTGAATCTTACAACTAGTATTAAAAGATTTTAAAATTCAGGCAGAAATCCACCCTAGACGAGTCTTGAGAAGAGTACAGGGAGTGAGGAGGCAGTATTTAGAAATGAAATTGAAATGAAAATGATATCCCATCAGAAGATCCCAGATGAAGATGAGATGCAGATCATCATATCAAAATGAAAAGACGTACGTATCAAAAACCAACTGGACGCAGGAGAAGGATGGGTCACATCACAAACATCTTGGCGTTTTTTGTTACTAGTTTTGTTATCTTTTGAGTCCAGATGGGCATATTTTTTTGTCCGGCCGACCAACGGATGGATAGTAAATGCATGCGTAATGTAAGCAGAGAGGACTAAATTGGTACTGGTCCATCTTGCAAGATCTCGCTCCTTTTTCATATTAATATTGATAGCTGGATACGGACAGTGTCAATCTAAAGGCTTCGGCATTTCGATGTATGCATAAAATTTGGAGTAAAATCTGCACAATTAATTATAATAGGGACTTTAACGTAATATGATACTGGTCAATTTTTTATTCAAATGGTGTAAATAATACAGATCAGTACGTACAACTTGGTTGTATTTTATTAAGCTGTCAATAAGTGTCAGTTAATTACACATGTACAAACTGGTTTACAGTCTGTAACGTAATTTGATCTGTGTTAGCTCATTATTATCAATTTTTGAGTTGATTTAAAAAATTTGGCGTTATCTGCGATAAGAATTAAGTACACTCTTAGAAATCCAGTATTAAATTAATACCAAGCGGTATTCATATCATATGTGACTCTGCCAAAGTGGCATTGATACCCGGTAGTAATAGCTCGGTAACCATATCGGTGGCAAATTTTTCTGGACCCCGGTATAATTTTAATACCAAGCGGTAGCAACTTTAATACCGAGAAATCAATACCATATTTCTGAATGCTTTGTATTCAGTAACAAATAACAATTTTACTACTGAATTTTTAAAAGTGTGTAAATAAATTCATGAGTTATTTAGAGTGCAAGAAATACGGAGAGTTATTAATAATACGATCCCTTTGGCCATGCAGTCCCACTTTTGAGACTGAAGGATCCTTCCCCTCCTTCCAATCGTCTTCCTACACAGTTCGTCTCATCCATCTCAAAATTTCTAAGGGACGAATACATCCAATGTGTAAGGAAGGGTCACAAAAAATGGACACCTTCCTTTTCCTTGGTTCAGTTCGATCCTCAGGCTTAACAGGAATCGTATGGGGTGAATGCCTTGAGGGAACTTTAAGTTTCTGAAAAAGTTGATCTCATCTCAAAATTTATTTTTAGATGATTTTTACGCCACAAATAAAAATTTTGAGTAAAATTTCAGCAACTAATTAATCTCTTGTTAGGTATTTTTTAACACAAAGCCAGAATCAAGAATAAAACGTGAATGGATAAACCAAAAATCACAGGAAATATTTCAAGTAATTATTTTTATGATGAATTGATGCCAGGAAATTTGAGAATGCATATGAATTTACCAATGTGCTAAGCGTATTAAGCGTGCTGTTTGAAAACATACATACAAATTTACATATTTTTATCTGTGTTCAATTAAACCCAAAAATTAAATAAAAAGTTTAAAATTTTGATAACAATTTTTGTTAAAATTAATAAAATGCAACGAGGTCATTCTGAAATACTTGTGCTTCTTTCAGAAATTTTACACAACTCTACTTTTCCATACAATTAAAATAAAATTCATACAAAATTCCTATCAAGTTATGAAAAATTGACCCCGGAAAATTTGGCATAATCCCGAAATGTAATTTTCTTTCTGAAATTACACCCTAATCACTTTTCCATCCATGAAAAACTTTGTCCATTTTCCTCTCCTCTTTCCCCAGAATTTCCATGTATGCACATCTTCTTCCTTAATCCCGTTTCTTTTCCTCTTCTTTTCATCTCCTAACAATTTGAGAGGAAGAAAAGCAGACTAGTGATCATGATGAATAGGTTACAGCACAACAAGGGATGTTCGTTAAAGGAGGAAAAAAATGAGCTCTTTGGGGTTGCTTGAAAGAAAAACAGGACCCCTTCGGATTCCCATGCTGGTGTGGAATTGTGTCCCGTCGGATATACCTTTGCAGCCCCTTCTTCTTCTTGAGAAATAAGACGAGAACCAGACCAAAGTGGGTTTCCTTTCAGCCCAACGGACTGGACCAAAGCATCCCTTGCTTGTTAAATAATCTTATATTTCTCGATGTAACAATGGGCTGGATGGATGTGTAAGAAGCGACCCTTGGTTAGTTTGCTCCATGAGAAAAAACCTGCCTTTCATTTCATATGCCATACTTTTATTTTAGACGGCGACCAAGAGAGTCAAGTTGGCTGGGGAAAGGGATGGTTAAAACTAACCAGGTTTGGACTTATTTTAAGGGGAGGAAATATTATTTTTAATTAAATTTGACTACTAAAATTTAATTTAATTGGGAAATTAACAAGTTGAAAATTTAAGGGGTACATTTTTAATTAAAGTTTTATAAGTGCTGGTGGAATTCTGGGCATGAGGTTAACCTTTAAAGGACATTAAGTTACGGAGTGTAGAACATTTTTGTGGAAAATACATTGTGAAAACGGGAACATTTTATAAAAGTGGAGAAAAGTTGGTGTTACTCAGAAGTTTCAAGTTTGAAAAGTTTTAAGAAACGAAATTGGGCTTGGGAGAAAATTTGGATTGGAAGTGTTATCTCTGTGGCGTTGTGATAAGAAGTTATCAGTTTTAATTCGTGTTGAATCTGTCTGGCTACGCAAATAGCAACGTACGTACTTTGTTAAGCAGATGAGTGAGATTAATGCATAAACTGGGATGAGCAGAAGAGTATATTTGGTCAAGTTTAATGGATTTGATTATTTGATTGCCTGCCTGCACGAAATGGTGAGTCTGTCATTTTTTTGGTGTATATTGGACAATGAGTGGTGGTTAACCTTATCAAGAAATTATTTTTATCGGAGAATTTTGAGAGAGATATTAAATATGCATTTATGAAACAGTGTAACATACGTACGTATGTATGAATGTCATAAGTCTGCTGCGTTAAAAATTATGGTGAGACGCGACGCTACAACAGGAAAAAAGTCTGGTTATGTTGTTTGTTGAAGTTAGTGATCAGGTTGTTTAATTAGGGATAATTAATTTTTCATTTTGAAAAAGAAGGAAAATTGATTTTTTTAAATTCGTGTTGATATTTTGAGAGAATTAGTTCAAATTGGTAAGTATTTATCAAAAAAGCGTACAGCTTTAAAAAAAATTGTAAGACGAGATGCCACAAATGCAAAAAGTGTAATTTTCATATAACGAAAATATATCATCAGATTTTCTGGCGGAGTCAAGTAAAAGTAATATATTTTTCATGTTTTTTTTTCAGAAATAAAGAAACACAAGTTCCCAAAAATTTTGAAAATATCCAACCATGGACGTAAAATTGTCTCCAACTAGTGGCCCATTCTCCATAAAAAGGCGTCCTCATCCCCACCACACCCACAACAGTGGCCCCACTACCACCACCACGACACATGCCCTCATTTACACCCCAACGGCAAAAAAATGTCGCTTTTCTGCCGCCTCACTTATCCATCCCGTGTCCCCGTCGCCTTCCGACTTTCACTGCACGGACTCCGCGGATTCCATCCTTTCGCCGGCCGTGGACCTGTCCCCGATTTCGCCAGTGTCCTCGCCCGATTGGGAAATCCCCGTCAAAATTGTGCACGAAGACGTAGACTCGCTTAACTCCGAGGATTTTACGACCCTGCACATCACCCACCTCGTTCCGGAACTGTTAACTAAGGTGTTTTCCTATTTGGAAAAGAAGGACAGGGCCCGAGTCGCAGTGACGTGTTCGTATTTTAATCAAATTTTGAAAAATCGCCAGATTTGGAAGGGGACCGAAGCGAGGTTGAACTTACGGCCGAATCAGGGTCATACTTATCACTCGTTGATTGAAAGGGGTGTGGTTCGTGTGCAAGTCTTAAGTCTGAAAAGATCCCTTCGCGAGTTGACGAGTCATATTAAAGTGACGCACTTAAGGTTGAGTGGATGTTATAATGTGACGGATTACTCGTTAAATTCGATGCATATTTTGCCTTCTTTGGTGGAGTTGGATTTGTCGCTGTGCAAGCAGATTTCGGATGCGGGTGAGTATTTTGAAAGATAAATTTTTATGAGGGTGAGAAAAATGTGATTTTTTGCAAATCTTGGGAATTGAGGAGAACGGAATTTGAAAACTTTGCAAAGTTAGGAATAAAGTTTTAGGTTGGTAAATGTATGGTAATTTATTGACTTTGTGAAAAAATAGAGATGCAGAATTTGAGTAAAATTTAGAGTTTAAGTTTAAGTAAATTATGTACTTATGAGTTGCAGTAACGCTATTTTTGAGGCAATTCAAACAGGTCTACGTAACCCCATAAACGTATTAACGTTTCTACAAATTTACAAAAATGATAAATCTTTTGTAATCTTGTACACACGCGGATAAGAGTCTAAGTAAGACTCCTAATTTCTTAATTTCACAAAAATAAAAGTTTACTCGGTTGCAAGGATTCAAGTAAATTTATAGGTAATTCAAGTAGTCTTGATAAAATCGAGAAATGCGTAAGTTGTACAAACTTATTATTTTACAAATGCACTTGATCTGGAGAAAGTTACAACATTTATAAGTTGGCATTTATAGTGATTTTTTTACTTCGTAATAAGTTCTTGATCTTTTGTGTACATCGAATAATGCGCAAACCAAGGAAATGTTTCGAAACATGAAATGACGAACATTTATGCAAATTTCCATTAATGTGAAATTTCAAAATTAGATAACTTTATTTACAGAAGTAAAACAATGGCATATATTTCGTACTTGGTATATCTTTACGTCAAATATAAATAATTAGTGTCGTATGTATCCCAATAACTGAATAGATTCAATAATTCTTGGTGCCTTTTACGTATTTCAATTTTAATTGTTTCATTGGATAAAGTATGTTTAAGAAACTCACCAGGATGTGAATGAATAGCCCAAGAAAATGCACAACTTTTGTAAAATCATGTATTTTACAAGTTACTTTATCAAAACAAAGATAACCACTTGTTCTGCGTAGGTTGATAATAAATTTGTAAACTGATTTCCATTCGTAATATGTACAAATTTGTAGAAACATTTGTAAATTTACTGGATTACAAAATTTTCAGTACCAGACCTTCTTGAACTGCCGAAGTTAAGGTTATAAATAGCGGCTTATAAGTATTTCACTCAACTTTTAATTTCAAATTATGCCGATCATTTGTAAATATACAGATTTTGCAAGGTTACAAAGTGAATCGACTCGTTTTCTATTTGTAACAATGTCAAATTTTTCTGCATGCTAAATGTTGATTTATAATACTGCTGGTTTGGCTACATTAAGTATTTATGCATAGTTAAATATTTTGGAACCACGTAAAAAATCAAAACTTTTATTTATAAAATAAAAACTTCAAGTTTTGTCAATAGAATTTTCTTGTTTTTCGATGGTTGGAAAAGTGGATTTATAAAGTTTACAAAATTATAATGCTGATGTGATTTCTTTGATTAAAATTTAAAAATTAGGCAATTTTGTATCAGCCTGAAAATAAGTTTAATTTGTCTTTAAATTCGAACTGTAATGCTGGTACGTCGGAGAGCAATTTTTATTAAATATGAGTTAAAATAGCGTTTATAGATCTCATCTGCTTCTGTTTCTGCAAAAGAAATATTTTGATAATTTTATTTGCGCAAATTTATTTAGCATAAATATTGGTAACCCTAATAGCAAAAACGTCGAATGAAAATTTTCTAATTGCGTAAATTAAGTTAATTTAAGTTAAGCACATTTTACTTCAGTTTAAAGCCTTTATTATAAATTTACAAAGTTTACAATGAAATTGATGATTCAGATTGACTACTTTTGAGAGCATTCTGTGCATTAATTCAATCATAATCTTATTTCAAACAGGATTTTCTATACTTTATAGTTTCCAATTTCACGTTTATACAATTTGCGCGCATATGTATCTGAATCTCAATTACAGTGAATTTGTGAAAATAAACAAGGTCTTGTAAGCACATTAAAATAGAAATTAATGAAAAACATAAAACTTTTAGTGGTCCGAATTTGTGAGATTTATGCAAACTATGTGTCTGTCAATTTGGGATATTTAAAAATTACATTTGCAATTTTTCCAAAATTTAGTTACAAAATTTACGAGATTTATAATACTCAATTTTCAAAGTTTACAAAATTCGATCCTCAATTTGAAAAGTTTACAAAAATATGACATCATTCATAAATACTAAAAATTCTTCTCTCCACTTTTCAGGCTTGGTCCACATCCTCGCCAAAACGCCATCCCTCACCCGTCTCGACCTCGGCGGATGCTGCAACCTCACGGACCGCGCCGCCCTCTTAATCGCCTACGGTCTCCGCTCCCTCAAGTCCCTGGACCTCCGATCCTGCTACAATCTCACCGACAAAGCCTTATCCTACCTCGCTGGCGACGTCTACTTGAGTGACCGCCACGAAATTAAAACCTACAACTTCCTCGCCCGAGTTGGTCTCATTGATTGCGAACTTTGTCGACGTCCCGGCCCCGAAAAGGGGTCCAAACACCGGATAGAACTCCCAAAAATTAACGAGCACACAGAATTCGGCATGCTCTCCTTGGAATCCTTGGTTTTGCAAGACTGCCAAAAAATTTCGGACCTGGGTCTCCAATGCATTTCAAAAATAGGAACACTTTCCAGCTTAAATCTGTCCTTCTGCGTGAACATTACGGATAGCGGGTTGCGCTTTCTGAGTCCCTTGTCCGGCGTGTTGACCGAGTTGAATTTACGGTCATGTGACAACATTAGTGATGTCGGATTTCAAACTTTACGTGAATGCGGATCCTTGCGACATTTGGATCTTAGTTTTTGCGAAAAGATTTCAACCCTGAATCCCACCGTGTGCAAAATGTTGAGGACGTTAAGCCTTTCGGCGTGTGATATTGGGGATGGCGCGTTGTTAGGATTGCCGGTAAATATGGAGCAGCTGGAAACACTGAATTTGGGACAGTGTGACAAAATTTCGGACATGGGGATAGGCGCAATTTCGGAAAAGTGTCCGAATTTGAGGTATATTGATTTGTATGGGTGTTCTGCAATTAGTACGAAGGGGTTGAAGGATATTATGGCAATGCCGTTGTTGAAAAATGTTAATTTAGGATTGTGGAAGATTTAGGGTTAGCTCGTTTTTTTAAATTAGACGGTTAGGAAGGCTCAAAAGCATGCAAAAATCCAGTCAAACTTGTGAATCAGAGACGAATTTCTAGATTTGATATCATGTTCCTACAAGTATATTTAGGGGTAACGTATTTTTTATGTAAATTTACACAATTATTTATTTGCAAGTAATTAATAAATTGCGCGAATTTTTTTATAGCAAACTTATTTATGCCACAAAATGCAAGCAATCTTTCTATTGAGCTTTTTGCATGACAATGAAACCACGCGAAACTTACAATAAGCTTTGAAAATCTGTACCATTTTTACGAAAAAATTGGTAAAAAATTCATAACTACGTTTTCTCCATTTATCATCTTCACATGTTAACTTTCCAATTAACTTAAATGCAAGACTGAGACAATCTTTTACAAAAAATAGCTGTGATTCCCGTAAAAATGAAACTGTTCAACTTATAAATAAAATAGTGATTGGTAATTGATTAAAGTATTATTAATTAGTGGATGTATTCATGTCAATTGGCAAAAAGCCGCAAAAAATTAGCAAAATGAGTTTATGGATAAAATTCGTTCTGAAATGTTACGAAATATTTATAAACTTGACATATGCAATTCACTCGAATGTTTGTAATCCAGTAAACTGTGCAAGTTTCTTAACATTAGTTTACCGACACCGTCGATATTTTGAGTTCACAAATGATTTGTAAGCTGAATTTTCGTGGTCGTCTTACATATTAAACCTGCGTAAGAATTTGTAAGGTTACTAATTTTGAAGAGTTTACTGAATTACAAATATCAGCGTGAAGTGCATAATTGTTATGCTAAAATATTGCAAACTTGACGCTTCATTTTTCCTGGAGAATAAGAAGAACAAAAAGTTGTGATATTATTCCGATATTTGTATTCTTTAATTTAATACGTTAAACAAATCAACTAGATTACGTTGTAGATTTACCTAAGTAGTAATTTTAATAAATGAAAAAAATCTAAATAAAAATTGATAACAACAACGGAGTAATAAAGATGACATTAAATAAAACTGAAGTTTTTGGTTGCAAATTTTTCTGCCCGCAAATTATTTTCCATGTTTTTATGATTCTTTTATGCATTTTGGCATGAATTTTCCCATGCTAATTCAGATTTTAAATACATATATTTAAATAGATTTTATCGGGCTCATCATGAAATGTGTGACAAAAATTGACCAGATTTAGCATTGCATTGTACTCGACTCCCGAATTTTGCAAATTTGCAGAAACACACACAGATCATTCATCCTTAATTCGACTTATATAACTGCTCCATTTGTTCCAAGTTATCCATTAGCCCGATCTGCGGAATTATTATATTAAATACTTAACAATTAGTGTGAAATACAATAATAATTTGGCCAGTTTGGCTAATGTAATCGACGATCACTTGGAACAAAATCTTATAAATTCAAAATTGGCATAAATTTTTAGGCACATGAATCAACCCACGGTGCATGACAAGATAAAAGCTACTGGAAACTACTCCATTGTAAGAATGAAATAAAGGCGACAAAATTTAGGGTGGTATACATATTTGAAAAAAACGTCTCCCAGTTGGTCATTTGTGGACAAAGGTGTATTTACACAGGTGTGTTTTTCTTTGTTTGGTTGACAGAATGAGAGGAATTTTAGGTTAGTCATAGAAATTTGGAAAATTGAAAGAAAACCTGCCCACAATAATGATGCACAGCTAAACGAACAGCAATTACGAATGTACTAACTCAAGAGTTAGTACATTTTTGCATGAAACTTCTATACTTTTTGAAGATCATAAAAAATGGAGTATGTACCATTTTGAATATTTTTATTTTGAAATGTTTACAAATTTGATAAGAACTAATTTTCAATTATAAAATTTCCCCCAAAGCTTTAAAACCTTCATGAAAAACATTTTTTGGTAGATATAAGTTTGTAATCCAGAACTTCCATAAATATACATTTAGCGCAATAAGTTGTAATCACTGATTTGGAAATTTTTTAAGATTTTTTTGAGAGTTTTTTTTAAATTTTGTTGGAGCTCGTATCCAATATTTCATAAATTCAATAAATGTATTTAGGTAAAAAAAACTTAAGGTGACATCGATTTGACATAATAAATTACTCCGGTAGCGATGTAATAATTTAATGCATTTATTCTAAGAAGGTTCGAGTAATAGATTTATTACTACATTGTGACAATAGCTTGGTGATACATACAACAATTTTTTTTAAAAAGCTTGTGTTAGAGCGCGGAAAGAAAGCCGTGATTTTACAAGATTATTTAGCTTACAAAATTATAAAGTTTTCAATTTTTTCCGCCATAACAAATTCCTGACTTTGTAGAAAACAAAAATTAAAAAAGAATAAAACAAAAAAAACATTCTCATCCAGCACCAAAGATGCGATACGACCTTCCTTTTTCTGGTTCTGTCAATCTATTTTATTATTTATTACACATTAAATATCACAATTATTTCTCTACGGCGTATTAGTTCACAAAAGTTTGAGTGATATGTAAAAATTTATTTTGTTGCCAAAATTCGGAAATTTTGCAACGTTTATCACAAAATTGCTTTTGTGTAAAAATTATTGATTCAAATTCTCAGGATACAAATGTAACAAAGTTTGATAAACTATCTACAAAATCAAAAATAAAATTTTATTTACACTGGAACCTTGCTGTACAACCGTATGTTTTTAAATTAAAATAAATATTTCTAGCATATTTATTATTTAGTGCTCTTATCGAAATCAGTATTTCGAATATCTTACGACTTTGCTTTGTATCGATTTATATTGTAAAAAATGCTAAATGTCAAATTGGAACTACTTGACCTAAATTATTCCATACATGTCACACATTTTGTAAAATAGACTGGAAAGATTTTATCTCATAATGTACATCAAATTGTCCTACGAGTTTTTGAAACTGGGAGTATAAATTCCCGAATTTCTATGAAATGACAGCTTCACAATTTCATGCGGAGCTTGGCATACAGACAATAAAGTAAAGATTATGCAAAAGAAAAATCAGCTTTGAGATATTTATCTGGCGTTTCTGTCTCTTGTAAACAACTTTTTAAAAAACTTGCACTGCGCTACAAATATCGGCATAAATTGCATTAATATACGAAGCATATGTACATTTTTATAAACTACGATATCCAATTATAACAGCAGTAGTGCCCCTAATTAATGCCCATCACTCCCAATTTTTTTGTACTTCATCATCTTCATGTCACCCATTGACGGACAAATATTGTTATTAGGAGACTCATTACAAAATTACGGCTAGAGCAGAACCAACTATTAGCCAAGCATCATGAATCCTTGTGCTTTCTTGCAATTGTGTCCGTGAAGACCCTTTTTGGTAAAGGGGCCAGTCCTTAAGAAGGTCCCTGTTATTAGCACCATTATTATTATGGTAAGTTGGGTTGTGCCCGAATTGTGCCAGGGTTCGGGTAGGAAGGAATGCAGTTTCGTAAAGTTTCGAAAGTAATTGTCGTGATCTTTGTAGACATTTTTTAAATCATGAAATTCACGGAATGGCGATATTTTCGAAAAATTTGTCAGAAATCAGACCGAAAACATACATTTACATAGATTTCAGCCAAGCAAGGACAAGGACTACTTTTTAAGTAGTTTGTTACCAAAATTATATGAAAGTTAAGTATTCTTCTCAGGTACCTTTTTCGAATTTCGAGAAAAATTTGTTCCACCTTTCCATTAAAAATCGTTCCTGTTTTCGTAATGTTCCATTAAAAATCATTTGTATTTCTCAGGTTGGGGCAGATTTTAAATTCCACTATATTGTTTCTGAGTAATTGCAAATCATAAAAAAGGGGATCAAAATATTTACGAGTTATTTGAATTATGTGAAAATTACATGGTTTTATAAGAACCCTGAAGTTTTAAGCGACTGATTTTTTTCAAACCTTCTTAAGAATGAAATCTTAGCCTAAATTCGTTTCATTCTTACGTAGGGACCATACACATGCTTACGTACATATGATTCATTATCCAGGAAAAGGGAAGGGCTGGTGAAGGAGGAAACGAGGTATTAGTGAAGAATGTGTAAATCGTTCACCACAATCCTGAACTGAATTCGTCTTTTGATTTCTCGTATTCGGCTTTATTTTGATGATCTGTAAACCATCATTAATTTTATTGAGATAGGTCAGTTCTGCTAAATGCTGCCATCAACACGGTGATTAAGGACGGATTGTTTAGATGATCAGTATTTAAACGGGTTTTATGTATGCATTAATATTTTTGAGACTTTATAAAATTAAGAATTTGACCCTTGTGTAACATTAATATTTATTAAAAATAATTTCAAAAAAATAATAATGTAGATCTTCACTAATTTGAACTTAAATACAAAATTTTGACAACATTTTTTTCAGAATATTTTACAGACTTTGAAAAACAATTGTAAAATTTACAAAATAAATGAAACTATTTGAATTCTCATTGCATCACATTGCTTGAAGCTTTGAACCTTTTAAACTTGATCCAAAACGGTTTACTCCTTCAAATCCAGCCAAGTCAGTCAAATAAATAAGAGAAATGCAATAAAAGAAATCTCAACTTCAACTTCAAGTCCAGCAAAGAAATAAGAAAGATGGGAAAAAGGACCATATTTTGGTTTGAGAAGGGTTCCTAAAATTTCTTGGCTTGGGGAGACTCTGTCGCCTTGTCAGTCAGTTGGAAAATAATACTACGGACAGGCGCCGAACGTGGGTTAAGGAGCCCCTGGGAAAAGTTGAGAAAAAGATTAACTTTAGTTTAAAAATACTTTGTAAACCATAAGTTATTAAGCGTAATTATCAGCGAAATTAGATCAATAATTTACAAATAATTTAAGAATTTTCGTTGTAAATAAATGTATTTCTTTCAAGATCATGCCCATTGAATCGGACGAACAATAAAGTGACCATTTCTGCAGACAGTGTTTCATTTGTTGCAAAATTATGCAGAGTAAAATATTTTTACCGGCTGCAATAAGTTGTAGCTTCAGAAAAGTATGCTAAATGTGCTAAATAATTTATAGGTCAGAGTCTAGATTTTTGTTTAATTTTAATAAAAAATTCAAAAATCCAACGAAGCTCAAAATAATTTATATTTTATCTTTATTTTATTTGTGGGTGAGGGCAAACTATAAAACTACAAACTTGTTTACATACATATCTGTAGAATACAATATTTCTGTAGAAAATTTAGTAGGGCCCTCACCAATAACTTCAGGGTACCCTTGGCTTTCGGGCCCTGATGGATTGTCGAGCAAGGAAGAAATGTAAAGGAAAAGGGTCCCCGTCTCGAGAGGATTGGATTTCTATTTGTATTTTCTTTTTCTTTCCGATATTCTCGAGGGATGGAAACGTATTTAACTCGGAGTGAAAAAGGTCACTTTTTCCCCTTGTAAATATTTGAATACTTTTCTGTATATTCGAAACCAAAAGTTATATTCGTTCGTTACTGGGCCGTTCTTAAATAATAGTCATAAAGTATTTTCATGGCATTTCGTTCTACTTTTGAAGTCAAGTCTGAAATTAGAGAGGTTATGATTTAATAGCGGAAATGGCTTATCCCTGGGTTATCTTGTCGTCGGGATTACCCGCAGAAATTAAATGTAACAAATTTTCGTAATATTTTAAAGGATTACATAAAATCCGCCTGGGAACTTTGACGGTTCCCACATTCTCGAAAACTAATATTTTGTACGAATGACGAAGCGAAAGTTTAAAAAAAATTAGTGTGTCGATAAATTTGATCCAGACAGATTATCGAAAATGTAGTGGAAATACAACATTGCATGTTTTTTATCCGTGCTCGTAGCTTTCGGTGTAGGCACATCTTTAAAAGCAATGATATCATGACATGACATGACTCTTCATGATTATTACATCGCATTACTACATTGTAAGACATACGATGCAGTGCACCCTTAGAAATTTGGTACCTAATTGTTACGGACTGTGTCGATTTATGTAGTTGTGTACTTGTACTTTGTACTTTGTGTAGTTGT